AACGGGTAAGCGGAATCTCCAAGGATCACAATGGGCATTTCAACTTCCCCTACCGTGATCTTCCGCTCTGGGAAAAAAGTCCCGGCCTGCATCTTCCTGAACAGCCAAGTGTTCCGAAAGATGCGTGCGTCATGCACCTTTCCGGGCCAGCCTGTGTTAATGTCAATGAAACGCCCACGGTGATCCACAAGCGCCTGGAGAACCATAGAGAAATACCCCTTCCGATTAACGTACTCGGATCCTTGGTGGGGTGGTGCCAGAATAGGAATGTGCGTCCCATCTATCGCCCCTCCACAGTTAGGGAACCCCATTTGTGCAAAGCCATCCACTATTTCCTGCACGTTACCCAGAGTCACAGTTCTTCTGAATAGGATGCGATTAATGGCCTTGCAAACTTGCATCAACATGATTCCAACGGTCGACTTTCCCACTCCAAACTGGTTTGCGACCGACCGGTAGCTGTCTGGAGTTGCCAGCTTCCAGATTGCAATAGCCACCCACTTCTCCACTGGCAGGGCAGCTCTCAATCTCGTGTCCTTGCGCCGCAGGGTGGGGGCAAGCTCCTCACACAATCCCATGAAAGTGGCTTTTCTCATCCGAAAGTTCTGCAGCCACTGCTCGTCATCCCAGACTTCCATGACGATGTGATCCCACCACTCGGTGCTTGTTTCCCGAGCCCAAAAGTGGCGTTCCACGGTGCTGAGCATGTCCGTGAATGCCACAAGCAATTTCGTGTCATACGCGTTACGCGGCTCGATAGCATCGTCGGACTCCTCACTGTCACTTTGGATCTTAAGGAATAGTTCGACAGCCAAACGTGACGTGCTGGCGAGACTCGTCAGCATACGCCTCAGCAGTTCGGATTCCATTTCCCGCAGACAGATCGCGCTGCACAGAAACCGTTGAAAGATGGTGCCAAAGGTGGACGGAAACAAAGGGATTTCTGGGATGTGAAGTGATGCATCACGGGGCATTGGGACAGGACCCAGAATCCCCCGCACCCACGCCCCCTTCCCACAACCCACGGCGCCAGAATGGGAAAAGGTGCTCTGTGGGATAGCTGCCCATAATGCACCGCTCCCAATAGCGCTGCAATTGCTGCAAATGTGGCCACGACAGTGCGCTGGGCAGCTGTCAGTGTGGACAGACTGCAGCGCTTTCCCTACTCAGCTGCACGAAGTCAGGTTTAACTCACAGCGCTGTACATCTGCAAGTGTAGCCAAGGCCACAGGGGCTTACTTCTCCGGAATCTTTTGTGGCTCCCTGTTGCTGTCAGACATGGAAAAATGCCTGCAAATGTCACCTGATGGACAACTCACGACTGCATCAGCAGCACCAGCAAAACTCAAGAAGTATGAGACATGAGGATTTCCAGTCTAGAGGCAGTGTGTGAGGTTTCTCTTCTTTCCTTTGGCAAGTACAGTGGAACAGGCTTAAAGTAAAGTGTGTGAGGTTTTTTTTAAAAGTACGTACACCAAAAATCTCTTCACTTGGTTTTACTCTAACCAAAGGTTACCCTTTATCCCCCCCTGCTGTCTTCAGTTCTCCCTGTACCCACAGTTGAAAGGGCTTTTAATTTTTCCTCCCTCACAGCTTCAGGGGGACACAATGACCCTTTTCCCTACCCTGAACACTCTTTGCTCTTCAGAACAGAGACGAGGGAGGGGCTAATCATTCTGCAGGCCAGCTTTTAACACCAATCACAAGCCTTCTGGACACATTTTCAAATAAATACATATTTTTATTTAATTACAGCAACTGCGAGGAGAGCTCTTGTGGCTTCAGATGTGTTGGCCTGCATCTTAACGAGTCTTCAGAGAGCTTTTCTATTGTGCTAAAAACTAGCTTAACTGAGCTAACTTGATGGAAAAATGCACTCTTTTGGGCCAGTCAAGACAGTGGCACCTTTTTTTATGTGTTTGCTCTGCAGTGGTGCTGTCCCAGGAGCTCGCAGCTCCGCGGCCCGGAGCATTGCGCCAGCAGTGGGGCGGGCTGAGGCTGCGGGGGAGGGCGAAGAGCTGCAGAGGGGCCGGAAGCTAACCTCCCAGGCCAGGAGCTCAGGGGCCGGGCAGGAGGGTCCCGCGGGCTGTAGTTTGCCCACCTCTGCTATAGATACATAGTTTATCATGTACTTTAGTCTCCTTGAAATTAGGGCATTTCATAAAAATATGAGAAACCCTATGGGATTTGGTCATTCTCCATTCCAATACTTTTTTCAAGGTACTTGCAACCTTGACTCACAAGGAACCACTAATAAGACTCCAGTATTTAGAACATCTTTATTACAGAGGCATAATGTAAATGTAATAGGCAGCAGGTTTAAAACAAACAAAAGGAAGTATTTTTTCACACAGTGCACAGTCAACCTGTGGAATTCCTTGCCAGAGGATGTTGTGAAGGCCAAGACTATAACAGGGTTCAAAAAAGAACTAGATAAGATCATGGAGGATAGGTGTATCAATGGCTATTAGCCAGGATGGACAGGGATGGTGTCCTTAGCCTGTTTGCCAGAAGCTGGGAATGGGCAAGAGATGGGTCACTTGATGATTCCCTGTTCTGTTCATTCCCTCTGGGGCACCTGGCGTTGGCAGAAGGCAGAATACTGGGCTAGATGGACCTTTGGTCTGACCTCGTATGGCCATTCTTATGTAAATTGTTTAGTCACACTCACCACGTTCTCTGTTTTAGATGCTGCTAGTGCAGTAGGCTGTATATAGCTAAGCCTGTAGTTAGTAAACACAGTTAGGGCTTGTCTACACCCAGCCGCTAGTTCGGCGGCTGGGGATCGAAGTTCCGAGTTCGATTTATCGCGTCTGGTCTGGACGCGATAAATCGAACCAGGAAGTGATCCCCGTCGACTGCGGTACTCCAGCTATACGAGAGGAGTACCGCGGAGTCGACGGGGAGCCTGACCGCCGCGTGTGGACCGCATCTGAACCGCGGTAAGTTCGAAGTAAGGTATGTCGAATTCAGCTACGTTATTCACGTAGCTGAATTTGCGTACCTTACTTCGACTTGGGGGGTAAGTGTAGACCAAGCCTTATTAAGGACCCAACAATGCCTTTGTGGTTTCTTCATCTTATTGGAGCTGTAGGACTTATTCTGAGGGAGTTCTATGGCCTGTATTATATAGGAGTCAGAGTAGATGATCACAATGCTCCCTTCTGGCCTTGGACTCTATGAATCAGCCCACAACCATTTCCTGCCTCCCACAAATTGTGGGCAGATTTATTTATTTTGGGTTTGCTACATGCCCTCTATTTACACGCACTATGCTATGTGCTGATATGAAGGGTATTTGCATTACTAATGAAGATCTTTCATAGTTTATGTGAGGATAGTTTAGTTGGGGTTGGTCCTGCTTTGAGCAGGGGGTTGGTCTAGATGACCTCCTGGAGTCTCTTCTAACTCTAATCTTCTATGATGCGTTTACAATTCCTAACTTGTAGTATGACATGGGTATCTCCAGAAGTGTGCTTGTGCTGAGTCAACTCTTCTAAATGTGATGCAGTGTATACCCTGTCCTGGCTCAGAAAGGGTTAATGTGGACCTGAGTGTCACCTGGAAGTGGGCCAGGCCTAATTAATGATGAAGCCTAGCTGGCGAGGAGCTATAAACAGAGGAAGTTTGGAACAGAAGGGGCTATAGGGAGAAACTCTGCAATCATTTTCTTGGCAGTAGGCAGTGAAGAGGCCTAGAGGGAAAGAGAAGGTTCTTTCACAGTGAGGAGAAAGCCCAGGGAAAGGCTTTGTAGGAAGGATAGTAGCAATAAGTCTGGTGGAGTGAACCTTGACTGCATGCCCTAGGGTCCCTGGATTAGAACCTAGTGTAGAAAGCAGGCCTGGGTTCACCTGATAAGGTGGTGTGAAGCCTCTAAGGTGATATCGACTACTAGATACCCTGAGAAAAGAGTGAATGGACTACTGGGCCCTGAATTGATGGTGGCAGACTGGCTGGAAGGATCACACATTTATTTGTTAGACTTCCTATTACCCTGGAAGGGGCAGGACTAAATGTGACCTGACTAGAGAGCGGAGGTACAAGAAGAGGGAGACCAGTGCAAGGACCAGAGTGATTGTCAGCATAAGGTGCTAGAGGAGAGCCTGCTATGCCATGCCCAGTCACAAAGGGATGCACCTATGGTGAGTTAACTCTTCTACATACCTCTCCCAGCCCACCCACATACATAGCTACCAGAAGTAGCATTGTTTCTACTAAAGTGTCGTCCTAAACAATTAAAAGAATCACCATGTGGCAAAGCTGGAACTCCTCTGGACTGGGAAGGGAAGATGCACTTGGGAGTATGAGTTCCCTAGTACATTTTTGGGAATTGTGATAAAGTAATAACTATGAAATTTGTTGATTAAAGCAACAAAATAACCATTGTAACAGGAATCCGCAATTGGAAGTGGAAGCTCCCCACTGTACTCCAAAATTTATGACACAATGTATATGTTTGCACTCAAGTAAAAAAAAAGTCCTAGAACAGGAGAATCCAAGCTGTTCTATGCCTGCTCCACAATGCTGCATTATCTGTTAATGCAAGTTCCTGTAAATGCCTCCTACCCAAAGGGATCCACCCAGGTTTACCATCTGTGATGGTGTAGATACATTCATCCTCCCCCAGACCCATGCTCACACATACCCACAGATGACCACCCTTGCACTTAAACTTGTCTGTGAAAGACCGAAGTCACACATAATCAATACCAGTACATTTCCACACCTTGTCATTTATTTTACATTCCCTTACAAAAGGTTTCCATTTTTGTTTCATACGTCGTTGATGGGTATGTACATCAAATCACCACCACTGTCTACCCTTGCTGACTCAAACTATTGGAGACACACTTACACTGTGGTAAGGAAAACTTCTGAATAGAGAGAACTGTAATAAACAACTGCTGAAGGGACCAGAACTCAGTTTCCTAGCATATGGTGGGGGTACTTAACTAGGAAATGTAATAGCTATACTGAATCTTGGTGATACCTGAAATGTTAACTTAAGACAATGGTTGTTTTGAGTTAGCCTAGAGCTCATTGTCTAAAAGCAACCAGTTGTGTGTTTTGGTACATCCACACAGCACTTTCTTCAAGAGCAGCCAATTTGTAATCTAAACACCCTACACCTAATGGATTTGAGGACTGTGCATCTGGAATTGCTTTGATTGTGCTATTGCTGATAGGACCTACATTTCCACGCCATCCAGAGAAGGCTGACTGTTACAAGATACACTGGAGAAAGCGAAAGGGTGACTTTTTTCCCCACCCCTCCTCCACAATCTGTTAGCTCCAGCAGACATGAATAAGTCTGACAAATTCCCTCAATATTCACCTCTCTCTACATCATGTATATGGCAAGTCACTAAACCCCATTATGCAATACCGATTCCAGTAATGAAGTTTACAGTGATGCAAGGATCAGTGCCCTTTGTTTATCCTCAACCTCTATTACTCGTAGGGTATGTCAACACAGCAAAAGAGACATACAGCCCTGAGTCTGAGCCTCCTACTATAAGCCTGAGTCAGTTGACCCAGTCTCTGAAACTATCTGCTAGTTTGTTTTTGCAGTGTTGCTGTACCCTTAAATAAGGAACATGGCCTGGAATAGAGGGGATACAAATGTTGTTCTCTTTACTGACCAGCTGTCACTGTTGCATCATAACAAAAGCTTTTTTTTTTTTTTTTTTGGAAGCAGTAAGCCGTGTCCTTGAAATCTGAAGACATTTAAATGAATTCCCAACGGAGTATATGATGTGTAGACCATCACCATGATGAATGTCGCTTAGACATCATCCCAGAAGTCATCCCTCTTCTCTGGCATGACTCAGTGTTCCCACATAATCTTTAGGTTTGAAGGCAGCTCTGCAGTGCATAGCTCATCAAATTTTGAGGCATCTTTGACCTGCGTGCTGTAGAAAGCTAAGACATCCCCAGCAGTGCACATTTGGTGGAGTCGTGAATTGGGGACCGCATGGCCTAGTTCTGCAGCCAGTTGCGCCAGCAGGCGATACTTTAACTTGCTTTCTTTTAGTGAGGCCTTTTGCCAGTCCTCAGAGAGTGAGGGTCCAAAGATTTCCCTGACATGAGACTCAAGACGACTCTGGAGATCCTCTGGGGGAAGGTACTTCCTACTGCGTGGTGGGGGACATACCAGGATGGGTGGTTCTTTCACTAGAACAGCTGTTTCAACCACCTCTGGTTCTCTCACCTTCTTCCTGTTAATCAGAAGGAAGTATTTTAAATCTCCCAGCTGCTATTGAATTGAAGTGTCCTTTTCCATTTAGGTTAGATTCCCCTCCTCCCCCCATTCACACTCATTTTTGGTTTCACTACCATAATTTGATAGCTCTTACACATGCCTGCACTGAAGACAGAGCAAGCTGTTTCCTTCGCTGATTTGCATATACACTCAATACAAACATTAGCACTCTGAGCCTAGTTCCCAGCTTTTTCCAGAACGCCACCTTCAATAATATTCACAGAGCAAGTACCACTGCCACAGTCAAACAGGCCAGGAAGTGCTTCACTCCTATCCTGCTGTTGCTTCATAACAGTAGTAAGTTGCACTTTCACAGCATCTTTGTCAGGCCTCAGACGGAGGTGCTCACAGTGACTGTGGGGTGCTGTGCTAGCGTAGCAGCTGTCGGGTAGCCGGACCCTGGGGGGTATATCTACCCTACCCTTGGAGTCTATAGTTGACGGCTTGTCTTAGGGTGACCAGCTGTCCCGATTTTATAGGAACAGTCCTGATTTTGGGGTCTTTTTCTTAGATACGCTCCTATTACCCACCACCCCGTCCCGGTTTTTCACATTTGCTGTCTGGTCACCCTAGCTTGTCTACACTACGCAGCTTTTAGCGACAAGGCTGCATCGACACAGCCTTGTCGCTAAACGTCAGTGGGCGTAAACGCGTCCTGACAGTATTGTGTCGGCACTTTTGCTAACAAAATACTTCCATCCCCGCGAGCGGCGTTCGCTTTGTCAGCGGGACAAAGCCAGCCGGCAAAACTTTTGCCCTTCGCGGGGGGGGGGGGGGGGAGAGCGCTGGCTTTTTAAAGTACCCATGAAAGACAAAAGTTTTGTCGACCGTGTCGCAGTGTAGACAGGCCCTAAGTCTACAGCACAAGCTGGGGTGGGTGAGCTCTCGGCGAGCACGGCGGCTCCGGCGCAGGCCCTGCTAGCAGGGCTAAGCCGTGCCCACTAGGTGCACGGCGCTGTCAGGGGCAGCCGTACTCGCCCCCCCCCCCCCCCGAGGAAGCGCGCTACAGCGCGAGCGCGTGCACGAGCAGGGCCAACCGTCAGCTCGCCGCGCGGACCCGAGGGGCGGGGCGGGGAACGGGGAAGCCGGCGCTGAAGGCTGGAACGAGGCCGCCGCGGCGGACGCTCGCACCCGCAGGCGGAGCACTCAGGCCGCAGCCCAGCCCCAAGCCGCCTCCCTCCCCACTCCGGGCCTGGTCCCGCACCGGGCGCCTCAGCGGGGGATGGGGCCGAGAATAACTCGGCCACGGAGCTTCCCTCGGGGTTACCTCAGGCCGTCCCACAATGCCCTGCGCGGCGGGACCCCCAGACTCAGCCGCCTCCAGGCACGCACGAGCCCGCAGGAGGTCGCCATCTTGGAAACGACACAGACAGACTGCCCGAGGCACGACGGGAGAGGTAGGATTGTTTCCGGGAGCGCGCGCTGCCTCATGGGAAGTGTAGTCATGGGATGTCCGTCACGTGGCCGCGGCGCGGCACCGCGGAGCGCTCTGGGGGATGTAGTTCGCGTCGAGGCGAGAGCGAGGCTGCGGCCTCCGGCGGCTCGTGCACTGGGTGGAGCTGAGCGAGATGAGGCCCGGATGATGTGGGCGGAGTCTCCACATGGCGGCTGGCAGGCCGCTTGTTGCCATAGAAACCGGGATGTGGCCTCATCCACGCCCGTGGGGAGCTGCTGCTGGTGGCCCAGCTGGAGGGGGAGCGGCCCCCTGGGCCTCCGTGTCACCCTGGGCCTTGCAGGGCACCAGCACCCACAGCAGGGCCATAGAGCGCACAGCCCCACAGCCGTGCCAGTGACATGCGTGTGCACAAACAGCTACACACGCATACATGGACACATGCAAACCGCACACAGGTGTATGTGCACAGATGTGTAAATAGCTATACACACATCCGCATAGGCTGCTCCAACCCCCCCCCAGCGCGCTGCATCCCCGCTCCTCCGCCTACCTCCCAGCCGCGGCCAAACCGGGGGAGGAGGCAGGGCCGGGGTGGGGATTTGGGGAAGGGGTTGGAATATTGGCAGGGAGGGGGCGGAGTTGGGATGGGGACTTTGGGGAAGGGGGGGGCATCATGGAAGGGGTGGAGTGGGGGCAGGGGAAGAGGGGGGTTGAGCATCCGTGGGAAGGAGGGGAAGTCAGCGCCTATGCACATCTATACACGAATAGACACACTTGTATTCCCACTGCATGTGTCATACACACCTACATACGCACATATACATGTAGGTGTATATCTGTGTAATCCTGACAGACCCCGGGCGTCGGCAGGCGGGATCGAACCTGGGACCTCAGTGCATGAGCCTCTACCGCATGAGCTAAAAGCCAACTGTCTGTTAGCTAAGGCTGTAGAGCAGACTCATTTTACCTCTCTCTCTAAGTGGTCTCGGTGCCACTAAATGAGACACAACACCATATCCAGACAGGGCCGGATTAATTTTTTGTGGGCCCGGCACCAAACATATTTGTGGGCCCCTCTGGAGAATGAAGGGGCCAGGGGCAAGAGCACAGTGGGCAGGGTGGATTTGATTTAAATGATGATTTAAATCTCTAGTCAGGAAGACTCTATTTAATCATGGTTTCCTACGTAAAAGTGCATTCTTGTTGGTTGTTATAACCTTAATACATATTTTTCACAACACAGAGATAGAAGTAGGTTTCATTTTTAGAAGGTACACACTATACATTTTTAAACGGGTTTATTTTGAAAACTTTTCAGATGAGTTTTACAGCTATATCAGAAAATGAATGATTGTTTGGTTATTTCATTTACCAAAGGTAATTGAAGCAGATATTTATGAAGTCATTGGGAGATGAACTATCTGCAATTCAACAGGTTAATCATTAATATTTGGAGGATTTTCTTGCCATGCTGTATTAGGAGGAGAACATCACCAGACAGACATTTAAATTGTTTTATTTAACTAAAACAACAACATTAAGTATTCTGGATTTTTTTCTTCAACGGCAAACATAATATTTTAACAAAAAAGCATATGTTCCCTCGCTTCTCACATTTATCTCCAGACTTCTTCTCCTTATCCAGATCTATTCCGTCCCCATCAATCTTCTATTCATTGAACTTTTTGAAACTTTTCACTTTTAGAGAGAGGTAAGGGATTGACTCTGTGTACACAAATTTGCAGAGGGACAATAGCATTGAGGTCTGTTATTTCTCACCTCTATATATTATTTATTTATTTAAAAACATTTTTGCTGTTAACAAGCATGTTAGCTCTGGAGACACAAATTCAAAGTTTGAGAACTGCAAAACTAAGCATCCCTGATAGTATCTTCTAGACTGAGCACTGAGTCCCATTGGATGGATAGAAAGATTAACCTAAATAATCTATACAGAAGCCTGTGGAATCCCATAAGATTGGGTCCCCAATCCATGAACTATTGGAACTCATTTACAAAACGTTTCTTAAACATTATATGAATATAGTGTCTCATACTATAGAATTAGAATTTATAAACCCTATTCCATGATGAGACATAATGTATGTTAATTAAAACTATCTTTAGATAGGTTTTTTCCTCAAAAAGCATTTTATCAAAATGTGTTTTAAATAAAAAAAATCCGATATTTTGATTTTTTAAAAAAAAATCATTGATTTTTATCCACCCTGACAGCGGTGCATGGTGGGGGGAGGGGAAGGATTGGTCCCCAGCTGGAGCGAGGCAGGGGCCAGGGGCAAAAGCACAGCGGGGCGGGAGCTAGGGTTGGCCCCTGAAGCAAGGGAGGGGCTGGGGGTAAACTGCAAGCTCAGCAGGGGTGGGGAGGGGGTAAACAGGACCCTGCCCACATAGAGCGGATACCTACCTTCTCCCTGGTTCCAGCCCATTCTCTTCATCTCTCTCTGCACTGAGCTGCCCCTCCTCCAGTGTGACAAAGTGGGAATGTTCTTAATGTTTTCTCTGAATACTGTGTGGGTGCCTCAGTTTCCCCTATGCATTTCTTAAGTATCTAGGTGGTGGGATAAGAGTGTGTGATTGTTGCAGAGCCTAGGCAGGTGTGATGCTGTCTGCACAGAGAGTGGCTGACAGGGTTGCAGGGTCTGGGCAGGAATTAGGGTGAGGGAGGGGGCTCAGGGTTGGGGCAGGAGGTTGGGGGTGTGGAGCGCTTACCTGGGGTAGCTCCTGTTTGGTGCAAGGGGTACAGGTGGGAATGTGGGGGGGGGTGCAGGAGCTCCCGTTTGGTGCTCAGGATGGGGGTGAGTATGTGGGGGGTTGAAGGAGTCAGGACTGGGGTTATGGGTGTGTGTGCGGGGTTCAGGAGTCAGGGCAGGAGGCTGGGAGGTGTGAGGGGGGTGCAGGAGTCAGGGCTGGGGGTGTGGGCTGGGGTCGTGTGGGTGCTCCCAGCCCCCTGCCCTGAGCAGCTCACGGCAGGGGGTTGGAGGGGGTATGCCCCGATTCCACCCCCTTCCCCAAGGCCCTGCCCCTGCCTCTTCTCCGCCTCCTCACCTGACAGGCGAGGGCACTGCGGCCCTGCTCCTCCCCCTCCCTCGCGCCGGCAAACAGCTGTTCGGCGGCGGGGGAAGCGCTGGGAAGGGGAGGGACATGGCTCATTTACCTGGGAGGGCTGCTCCTCTCACTATGGTGGAAAATGGCGCATGGCACACAGTCCACATGCTCCCATCATAGGGAAGGACCCTTGCACGGTCACTGCTGCAGTATGGATGGAGGCTTGGCAATGGGGCCCAGGAGATGTAGGAAACATAAAAGGTCTGGAGAGATCCCTGGTGAGGGGTGCAGGTTTTAGCCCAATAAGACCCCCAGTGATTTCTGAGCACTGTACTCCAGTAAAGCCATACAGACAAACAACTCCTAGAGAACTGTGATCTCCATGAGCTACCAATGCACCTCTGAGGGTGGTAATAGTGTTGCCAAGTCTCCTGATTTATCTATGAGTTTTGTGATTTTTTAAAAAAAATGTTTTTCATTAAGCCCAGCTCTTGAGCCAGAGATATGATTATATGGGAAACAGCTTTCTCGGGTTTGTTTTAAAGTAAGATTCTAGCCCTCATGAGTGTGGAGAAAAACTGGAACATGTGTCCCAGTACACCCTAAAGACTCAAAAAGAACCCAACATGTATTTTTAAAATCTCATTATTTTTAGGCCTATCTCATTATTGAGGTCTGACTCGTAATTTTTGAATGATTACAGTGACAATACTGAGGTGCTGTTATAGTATCAGCCATGCTTTGGTTCATGGGTATACATGTGGTGCATGTGCTCACTCATATCATTAAATCCCTTTGTTCAGCCTACTCACTCAGCAATGCATTAGATTAACAAGTCCCTACTTGGGGTACCTAGAAGAGAGCCGGCAGGCAATGAGGATAGTGCATTACACATCACCACATACTCCAGGGCTGACTCTAGCCCACCGTTCCTTCTTGGTTGGGCTGCCGAGCAGAGGAGCATCAGTTAAAACAGTTGCAGCATTCACTTTTGAGTGGCAGAGGTGTTTTTCAATCTTGGGAACACTTTGCAGAGAAATTTAATATTTTAGGGGAAGAAAGGTACTGTTATATTTCACACAACCATGAGTTACATAGGGTGACTGTGACCAAAAGCACCCCATAGTCACACCCTACACACTACTATAATAATCTTTGTACAAAATATGCCTTGTGAGGTATTATTTGAAAATTAATAATTTGCTGGTCAATAAACTCCTGGTGAAATGTGTGTAGCAGCATGAATGGGAAGTTATGAAATCCCCCTGTATAATGTTATTAGCACACATTCAAAACCACACAGCCCTGCCTAGGCAAAGGTTGTTAAACAGGTCTATCCTAAACAGAGGAATGTGTGTTTTACCTCCATTTACATATCAATAGTAAAGTGGGTCCTCAAGATAGCAGGGAGAGGAATTGACAGAAGATGAAGCAAATTTGCATTTCTGCAAACACAGGTGGGAAGAAAGATGCCTCCTTCACCACCCTACTCCATATTGCCTCCTTTACTGTTTGAATAATCTTTGCTTTGAGGGGTAATCTTCAGAAGAATCCACTTCATGGGTTCACTAGACCAGGGGTCAGCAACCTATATGCATCCGAAGAAGTGGGTTGTAGCCCACGAAAGCTTATGCTCTAATAAATTTGTTAGTCTCTAAGGTGCCACAAGTACTCCTGTTCTTCTTTCAGAAGTAGTGTGCCGAGTCTTTATTTATTCACTCTAATTTAAGGTTTCGCGTGCCAGTAATACAGTTTAACGTTTTTAGGTCTCTTTCTAGAAGTCTATAATATATAACTAAACTATTGTTGTATGTAAAGTACATAAGGTTTTTAAAATGTTTAAGAAGCTTCATTTAAAATTAAATTAAAATGCAGAGCCCCCCAGACCGGTGGCCAGGACCCAGGCAGTGTGAGT